TGAACACTCATGACTGGAGTTCCAGCTAGTGGTCCTTTGCCCTGGACCAGTGACGTTATGGACTGTTCTGTTCTCAGTTGTGGCTGCATGTAACATGGGAGCTTGGAGGGAGAAGTGAATGTGCGTGTGTGAGGGTGTGACACACAGCCGAGTGTGTCTCCACAGAAGGCCTCTTGACTGAAGTCCAGGTCAAAGTAAGGGTCTTGTGCTACTTGTTATTTCAATGTGCCATTGGCCTCTGGGCCTTAGCACCATCTTCTTAGAAACCTCAGTGCCATGAGAGCCAAGTGGAGGAAAAAACGAATGTCAGACTGGAACGCGAAAGAGGAAAGTGAGGGAGAGGTCTACGTAAAGCCCAGCTTGTGCACCCATGGAAGCCACAGGAGCAGAAATAAGGGCAGCCAGAGGCCAGGGACACGGGTACCAATTGTTGGACTGCATGCCTGCTGTATAGAACTTCTCAATGGATCTAGAACATACATGTCATCTGATTGCTACGACCACCTTTTGAGAGACCCACCTGCTCTTACACAAACAGTCCCCTTTGGTCCTTTGCCCTGGACCAGTGACATTATGGACTGTTCTGTTCTCAGTTGTGGCTGCATGTAACATGTGTACAATAAATCATCTCTTCTGTCTTAGCTGGAGAAAAAATTTGTCATTGGCAGCTCCTCTCACCTCCTACGTGATTATGAATAATGAAAAGTGGGCGGTGGAAAATGAGATTCTTTCCCTGGCCCTGCCTCTTCCCCTTTTCCAGGAGAGCTAGGGCACCAGAGGGGAACACAGAGCAGGTATGGACACTGAGGGGAAAGCGCCTCACGGTTCTGTTTGCCTGAACGTCTGCTCCTTCCAGCACCACCCACGTGGGACATTTGTTTATGTCACACAATAATGCTCTCTGGGAGCCCTGGGGGACAGGTTTAGGGCCCATGGGGATGTAGCCTGTCTGACTTGATATGCACAGCCTTTCACATCTAGGGCACAGAGGCGGCCTGGCTTTCCCTGGGAGCCCAGGGATGCCACAATGCTGCATTTGTCTGGAACTGAGACTGCAATGTAGCTACTTGTGCTTACCCAGGTACTGTGGGCTGTGGTCCACAGCTGTGCGCACCGGGAGTTCACAGGGGATGTGCAGCGAGCAGCTGTCATTTGCTTTTCTCCTTTGCAGCCCCCACGGCCAGGATGATACTGATAGCTGTGCTCATGCCTTCCAGGGCTGGGGAGGCCAGTGGGATTGCATGGGCCCACCCTCCAAAGGGGGCCCCTGCTTGGGTATTTGTCAGTTGTCAACTAGTTCATTTATATTCATCACCCATGTACCGAGTGCTTACAATGTGTATGGCAATATTCTAGATCAGCAGTCGCCAACCAGGGGTCCGTGAGGTCCGAAAGGTTGGCGACCGCTGTTTAGATCATGGGAGGTGAGAAGAGGTCAAAGATGTATAATCTGATATCTTCTCTGGAAGACCTTGTAATTTATCCAGAACCTACCCATCCCTTTGGAAATGAGAAGAACTAACATTTCACAACTACTTACTGCATACCAGGTGCATGTCAGGCATGGTCAGTGTCATCTCATTCCCACCTCCCATCCAGCCTTCAAGGTGGGCATTTAGCATGTCCATCTTACAACTGAGAAGTTTAGCTGGAGAGAGGCTAAATATCATTGATTCAAAGACATTTTTTCACACTTTATAATCTAAAATCGATTTGTCTTACAGTCAAAGTCATGGAATAATTTAATTGGCAGAGACTTTTCTTTCAAGTCAGTAAAATAATTGTAGGTCTTTGCAGTGGTATCTTTGTTTCTGAAAAATTGTGTATTTTGTTAGGTTCACCCAGCTGAAAAGAAGTGGAATCAGAATTCGACATAGGTTTGTCTGACTGTAAAGCTGTGTGTTTGTCCCCACAACATGCTGCAGAGTCCGTGGTCCTGGTTTGTTCTTCTTTATCACTGTGCAAAGGCCGTACGTTTTTCACAGACGACGTATGAAAAGGGGGAAATGACTGAACTGGAGCCACACCATCTAATTCCATAACCCAGGAGGCAGTGGCATGAGGAACTGCACGTGTCAAACAGGATGTTGAAAAATTGGGAAAAATGTTACTTAATTATCTTCCCTTCTCTACTGATTAGAACTCTTTGTTTTAAAATCCTCACCCAAGGATATGATTTTGTTGATTTTTTTTTAGAGAGGAAGGGGTTGGGGGAGAGAGAGAGAAACATCGATGTGAGAGAGAAACATCAGTCAGTTGCCTCCAGTATGCACCCCAACTGGGAATTGAACCTGCAATCTAGGTATGTGCTCTTACTAGGAATCGAACCCACAACCCTTTGGTGTATGGGACGACACTCCAACCAACTGAACCACGTGGCCAGGGCTAACCCATGTTTTAAAGGCCAACAATCAATGGCAGACTGTGGGGAGGTTCAGATAGAAAGGAGAGTACTGCTGCATTCCTTCTTTTGTTCCGGTGTGCTCTGCAGTGTTTGTACCTGCAGGGATCTGCTAGGGATGTGGCAGAGGCCTCTTTACTGTCCCAGAGCACCATGATAGGAGACACAAACCAGCTCCTTCCCCCGCAGGACTGAATTCTGGGAGGTCCCCAAGTGCAGGCCTTTGTGTGTGTATCATTGTCACAATATGCTGTGGTCAACACTCCCAGGTATGAGGCAGGGTCTGTTGAATTCCACAGCTGACCTGGATTCAGAAGCGGTGTCAGAACAAGAGACTGCTGCCAGGGTTTGCATACCCTACGCTTCATCTACACCCTCTTTCCCCCCCACCCCCTCCCCCACCCCCGCAGGCTTTGAGAAGTCACTTTCCTGAGATGAAAAGCAGCTGATGTGAACCACAGAGTAGAAAGTGAATGATCGGGCATCTCATGGAAGCGGGTGAGAATCGTGGAGGGAGAATACTCCTGGCAATCAGAACAGCAAGACAGGCCTGGAGGGACCTTTCTCTAATGCCCAATGGAAACCGAGTTTCAGGAGTTGAGTGGCTTGTTGGTCACACAGCCGATCCATGAGAGCCGAGTCAGGACCGGACTCTGGACTTTAGAGAGTGTTCCTTTTCCCTTCTCAGATATTTAGTCACTCGGGGCGTGAGTTTCTCCAACACTGAGGAAAACAGAGGCTGACTTCTGGGAAGCTCGCCTATGGAAATTACCTCAAACAATAACTGTGAAAATACCTGTGTACAAAAGAGTGTTCAGTGAAATCTTATTTATATTTCTGAAGCACTAGAAACAAACACGAATGGTCCACAGTAGGGAAATGGTTAGGAAAATATGGTAAATACAGTTGATTAAATAATAGCCATTGGAATGATATATAGGAAGACTAGCCAATAGAGGGATTTTTTAAATGATATAATTATAGGTAAAGAAAAAGAAAAAAGAAATATTTGTATATCATGGTAGCCTTGTTTAAAACACACATGCCCAGAAAATTAAAATCTGATAGGTAATAAGCCCAAATACTAATGATGGTTATTATGGGATTGTGGGATTTGATTTTTTTTCTTCTCCACATTTTCATTTTTTTGAAACTATGATCTGAATGGAAAAAATGTATTTTTCAAAAGAAAGAGACGATAACGTGGGACAAATTGTTTGGCTGGGCTGACTCTCCAGTTCTTGCATTCTGTGATGCTTTGAATCTGGGACAGCTGTCCCAGGCACCTGCAGACGTTATGGTGGAGCAGAAGTTATTCTAGCAGTGGCCGAGGGGCACGGGGGTCCTCCAGGAAGTGGAAGTAGGTGTTTAAAGGTCCAGGACTTGGCTATTGTTCCAGGGGATAATTGGATGTGACTCTGAATTTGGGAACAAGCCGTAAGCTCCTTGGTTGTATGGTAATTTGTTTGTAATTCTAACCTTGCGTAGCCAGACCCACATGCCGCTGGAAAGGGCTGGTGAGGTCCCAGCCTGGCCCCTGCCTCATGGGTGGGAAGAAAAGCTCTTGTTGGCTCTAGCCTTCCAAAGAAAACGGGAATGGCGCACTGCAACATGTCCAGCGTTCATGTCCCCTTTTCTTTGCAGGGACTTTTCTTTTTAGCCAGACCTGTGCTGGTGTGGATGGTGAGTGCCTTCAGAACCCTTGTTCTGAGAAAATGCATCACGTCTGCCGGAACTGCTATCTGGGATGGCGATGTGGGGCAGCCATAGGGTGTTGGTCTGGGAGCCTGGACAGGCTGTTCTTGTCCTGACACTACCAGTAATTGGCTGTGTGGCCTTGGGCAAGTGACCTCACCTCTCTAGACTTTCATTTCCTTACCCATAAAATGCAGGCGCCAGAGTGGGTTTATGAGTCTCTGCCAGTTCCCACCTTATCCATCTAGTCCAATAACTTACTTTACTGTTTTTTTTTTTTATTTTTTAACTTAAGCAACAGACATTTATTTTCTCACAGTTCTGCAGGCTGGAAGTCTAAGATCAAGATGCTGGCAATTTTGGAATTTTCTGAGGCCTATCTCCTTGACTTGCGGATGGCCATCTTTTCCCCATGTCCTCACATGGTCCTTTCTCTCTGTGTGTACACCAGGCATGTCAAACTCGCAGCTGGTGGGCCGCATGCCTCGTGGGCCGCATGCCTTGGCCCGCCAGCCGCAAGTTTGACATGCTTGGTGTACACCCTTGGTCTCTTTCCAGTAACTCACTTTAAAGACTTGGCACTGGCTGGGAAAAAATGATTTGGTTTGGTAAATATTTTTAAGTGCTGTATTATTACCATTGCTGTCAACTGGTTGATCAGCCTTTTTTTGTGTGTATGTGTGTGTGTGTGTGTGTATGTGTGTGTGTGTGTATATCTGTTAAATCTGTTATACAAACACACACAGGTCTCCTTTATAGCAGGAAGAAGTCTTTCCTTTATCTTCAAGGGAGGCGATGCTTGCATTCTGGGGACAAAGTGGCATGGATGGTGTGGCTTAGTGTGATAGCTGCTTAGTCGGCAGTTTGTGTGTACATCTGTGTGTATGTGTGTATGAGGGTGTGCACTGTGCCCATGATGGTGTGGATTTTTCCCCTTTAATGTCACTGCTGAGAACACATCTGTATGGGTAGTTGCTACTACCCGCTGTCAAGTTAGGAGTTTAGTGGTGTTTGGTACAACTTCTGGGCACAGTGGGTGTTGGGGTTAGCTTTTCGGCAGGTGCCCCATTAAGCAGATGGTGCTCCACTGCACTAAGGAAAGATGTAGTTTTGCCCAAGAAGAACTACTGCACTGTCAGCAGCAGATCAAAGGGAGGTTCATTCCAAGCCACTCCAGACCAGAAATTGTAGTGGGGACAGTCTACAGGAGACCAGAGGGAGGGAGACCACAGAGAATCACCCTGTCACACTTGAGTCATTGGCTGGGTGCAGCTGCTTGTCATGCCAGTGTCCGTCCAAGTCGGGCCCCCTCTGCGTGTCGTCACCATAAAAGGTAGAGATGTGACATGAATGCATTGTGTGTGGGAAGCTTGTTGTTACTGATCATCCCCCTGGCAGAGGAGTGAGTAGACCCCACAGGTTGGCATAAAGACAAACCCTAGGGAGGGTCTTGAAAGGAAAGTAACTGTTTACTTCTCCCATCTTTTCTCCCTGTTACCTCCTAACTCAGGTGGAAAACCCACGCCATCTGGGAACACTAAGAAGGCACAATAATATCATCCTGTAGCTTCCACAGAGTTACATGAGCAAAGACTCAGGGGCCAGCAGAAAATGAAGAAGCCGATTGAGGCAGGATCTGTGTCCGTGGGGGATGTTTTGGGTTGCCCTAGAAGAGGGGGTGGTGGTGGTGGTGGAGGGTGGCTCATGTCTTTCCCAGCACTAATTTACACTCAGTTTCCGGGTTTGAGGCTCATCATCAATAGGGAGGTTCCTGAGATCCAGTCTAAACTCAGAGGATCTTTGTGTTCATAGAGAGCCCTGCGGGTTCTTTGCTGAGGAGACGTTTGGTGTGCTGACAGTGTCCTGCATCAGATGGGTGTTGGATGACCCGGTTTCGTTTTACATCTGCTAATAGTGCATATGGATCTCTTTCTCTCTCCTTGACATTTTTAGAGAGAAAGGAGCCTTGATGGGGTCCTCTTCTTGATGCTACCTTACGTTGTGGCCTGACACAGTTTCCTAACATTGCCGGACCCAATTCCTCTTAAAAACATGAGGGGTTCATTTACAGTGGTTCAGCCCAGCTGCACATCGGGCACCCAGGAAGATTTCGAACATACTGACATGCAGGCTGCACTTCAGAGCAATTACGTAAGAGGGTAGGAATTAGGCAATGGTATTTTTAAATGTTTCTCAAGGTTAAGGAGTTTTGTTTAAAAGAGTGCTTCTCGCTTTAACTGGTTCGGTTCAGTGGATAGAGCGTTGGCCTTTGGACCAAGGGTCCTGGGTTTGATTCGGTCAAGGGCATGTACCTGCGTGTGTAGGAGGCAACCAATCAGTGTGTTTCTTTCACATCGATATTTCTCTCTGTCTTTTCCTCTTTCTTCCACTCTCTCTAAAATCAATGGGAAAATATCCTTGGGTTGGCATTTAAAAAATAAAAAGGTAATTTATTTAAAAAATAAAACAAAAGAGTGCTTTTCAAACTTTAACATAATCTGACCATCTTGTTAAGATGCAGACTTGGAGTCCTTAGGTCTGGGTGGGGCCCGAGATTCTGCATTTCTAACAAGTTTCCAGGGTTGCTGATCCAGCTGGCTTACAGACCAAGCTTTAGTAACAAGGTTTAGGATCCAAATAGGAGCGGTGGTACAAGGCACAATAATTCTGTTTGCAAAAATGTGGCACAGCCACTGTACTACGAAATGAGCACAGAACTAGCAGCAGTGCTGCGCAGAGGAGGTGGCGTTGGAGAGCCCCTGGGACAGTGAGGGGGCTTGCTTTGCGTAGAATCTGATTGTGTTCTCCAGAGAGACACAACAATAGGGTGTGTGTGTGTAAAAATATTAATTTTAAGAAATTGACTATGCACTGTGGACACTGGCAAGTCTGAGATCTGCAGGGCCATACAGCAGGCTGGAGACCCAGGGAAAGGTCAGTGTTGCAGTTCAAGTCTGAAGACAGTCTGCTGGCAGAATTCCCTCTTCTTTAGGGGAAATCACTCTTTTTTTTTTTTATTAAGATTTTCAACTGATTAGATGAGCCTCTCGCCGGTTATGGAGAATAACCTGCTTTACTCCAGTCTGCTATTTAAATTTAATCTCATCTAAAAACTGCTTTTGCTGAAACATCTAGAACAGTGGTTCTCAACCTTCCTAATGCTGTGACCCTTTAATACAGTTCCTCATGTTGTGGTGACCCCCAACCATAAAATTATTTTCATGGCTACTTCATAACTGTAACTTCGCTACTGTTATGAATCGTAATGTAAATATCTGATATGCAGGATGTATTTTCATTGTTACAAATTGAACATAATTAAAGCATAGTGATTAATCACAAAAACAATATGTAATTATCGATGTGTTTTCCGATGGTCTTAGGTGACCCCTGTGAAAGGGTCGTCTGATACCCAAAGGGGTCGCGACCCACAGGTTGAGAACCACTGATCTAGAATATCATTTGACCAAATATCTGGGTTCCAGGACCTAACATAAAATTAACCATCACTATGAGGGGAGTGGTTTTCCAGTTTCTTTTGGCCTTTGGGGACTATAGCTGGAGAGGATGGAGCTGTGGGCTAAGGGAGCAAGAATGACTTCTAGGCTCTTCTTAACCTTTGGGGGAAGGGGGAATGATGCTCTGACTCATCTTTGTTCTGCTGTCAATATAGAAGGGCCAGACTTCACAGGCCACAGAATTGGTGTGAGCTTCACTGTGGGTCTGTCTGCCTCTCCTCTGCCCCTGCCCCTACCCCTGTGGGCACTGGAGCCCAGATTAGTGTCTGGATCCTTCCAGTTGCCTGGCTGCATGCCCAGGCTAAATGATTACAGGGCAGAGCACATGGGGAAAATCAGGTCTGGAGGAAAACCCATGTGTGGAGCTGTGCAGCAGGCACTCTGCCTCACTCTCTTGTGATTTGAGTCACCCCAAAAAGGGGAAGATGAGCGGGGGCAAAAGTACCCAAATGTCTGTAGACAAGGAGCACGCTGTAGAGCAGGGCGTCTAACTTCTTTTGACCTTGAGCCATAGGAAGAAACACATCGTGGCCCAGTAGATACATAACTATAAAGGTATAGCTATAGATAACGTGTGTGTGTGTGTGTGTGTGTAAATAAAGTGGCATAAAATTAAAACAGATTTATGACCTGGAACTTACTTTTATTTCATTGGCATGTAATGCACTATGATAGTTTCTCTTCTGTTTCATTAAGAAGGAGGAAAGCTGGTCCTGTCCCGCTGAGCTGATTTCACAATGCTTAATGGACGATACCTGTGGTAAAAACGAGACCCAAATCCTGGTGGAGAGGAAAGAGCTTGGAGGGCCGTTGGAGCAGCGTGCCCAGCAGAGCTCCCGTGGTGGTGGGCACCGTCTGTTCAGCACTGCTGTCCAATGTGGGGACTGCTGGCCCAGGTGGCTGTTGAGCAGGATGTGGCTAGTGCGAATGAAGAACTGAATTTTACATTTCATTCCATTTCAATGCATTTCAATTTAAGTAGCCACACGTGTGGCTCAGGCGAAGCTGAACCTTAAATTGTGTTCGGTTTTCATTAATTTAAATGTAAGTAGCTGCCTGTGGCTAGTGACTCCTATGGTGGATCTGGGATACTGCCCTGCTTCTGCCTCTGACTGTAGGCATCGAGCCCCACCCCACACACTCCCTGTCCCGTCCTGTTCCTGACCGTCAGGTCTCCCATGCAGCCCTGCAACTGAAGGCTGGACTCGGCTCCACCTTTCCGGGTCCTGGTGGGTAGGAAAAGGTCGGCTAAACGCTTACCTGGGGCATGTAGTTAATTAAATGCCCCAGGCGGTGTTCAGATAATGTGCTTTGCATTTGTAAATGATCCTTCAGAAACCTTTCCCTTCTTCCTTTCAGTGGCTTAATTGCTCACCTGTGTGACTTGACAGTTTGAAAACAGAGATGCTTTCTGCCTGATGAAATCTTAGCAGCCCATCTTCACCGACTTGCTGAGCTCCTTGGATGGCATTTGCAGCCTGAACATGAGGTGCTTCGCTTTCCTCAGTTGCTTTCTTCTAGACACCTCCCTCTAGGCCAGAGGTCGGCAAACTCATTAGTCAACAGAGCCAAATATCAACAGTACAATGATTGAAATTTCTTTTGAGAGCCAAATTTTTTGAACTTAAACTATATAGGTAGGTACATTGTTATTAACTTAAGTAGGGTACTCCTACGGCTTAGGAAGAGGGGCCAAAGAGCCGCATGTGGCTCGCGAGCCGCAGTTTGCCGACCACGGCTCTAGGCAGATGTAATGGCCAAAAGGAAGCCGACAGTGGGAAACCCGGTGCATAAGTTACCCTCAGGGTGCATTGGTTCGTTTTTGTTGTTTGCAAAGCTAACGCGTACATTTGAGGTTTGGAGGACAGACTTCTAGGAGTTGGCATTGACCTCAAGGCCCTTATGAAAAGATGAAGGGGCCCAGGAAAGGAGGGGTGTGATTTTTTTCTCACTGGGTCTCAGAGAGTTCTGGTAGTCAGAGTCAACCTTGAGGGGCTTTGGCAGAACATATAACTCAGCTTATTTTACTTGTCAGGAAATGATTTCTTCTCCCAGGTCCTCATGGCTGAGAGGACTGAAGGAGAGAGGTGGGAAGCTCATAGCCTGCTCATTTGTGCTGAGCCAGCAACTGATCTGAGGTGTTCTGCCAATTCATTTTGGCTCTGATGGGAGGGGTAAACAGAGGGACAGAAATTATGTCTGGGAAGAGCCCTAATTCATGACATTCAGAAATGGGAACAAGATCACCAGCTCCCAAAGGAATAAATGGCTCCAGGCTGCTAAAAGAATTTATCTCATTCACTTCTGTTTTTTTTCTGTGACTAGATAATGAGCACTCAAGATGAGCCATGTCAGCTCCTCCTACACAGAAAGGCAACCTCTTTTGTTAAAAGTGTAATAGGTGTCATGTACCAGGAATATCACTTAATTCTTACCACCACACTCTGAGGAAGTGATTAGCTTCATTTGCAGATGGAGAAACAGAGAGGTTAAGTAACTCACCCAGGGGTACACAGCTAGCAACTGCCAGCATCAGAACCTGCACCTGCCCTTCAGGCCATTAAACTGCTGTGCTGCTTCTCAGTGTCAGGCCTGACAAGAGGGAGGGGCCTGCAGTGCCCCGGGGGTTTGGTGACTCACTGCACAGTCCTTGGTACTCGCAGATGGAATGTGAGGCACTCATTGGCATCCTTATTGCCCATCACTCCGAGAGGTGGGACACAGCCCTGTGCTTGCTGGCATCCTTGGTGGAGGTGGGGTGGGATGGAATGATGGAGGAGGAGCATTCTTCTCTCTGAAGTCAGAGGGAGGAATTTATGGTGAGGGAAAGGGTGTACCTCATACATACCAGATAAAGGGAAAATCAACAGCACACCATCGCAGATTCGGCTGACAGGAAACAGCTGCTGAAGGAGGAATGGGCAATGTGAGGGCAGAGTGGTACCGCCCTGCTCTGGAGGGTGGAAGATGTGAGCTGGCCATGGATGGACAAACATGGGGGAGGCTGCGCTGACTCATTAGCCATTGAGGCTGTGCTGGAGGAATCACAGCTGTGGTAGGGCCTCGGGAGATCCAGGGTGTTCCCAATGGCGGCATGACACATGTGGGGGCTGAACGGGGAGGGCAGAGGCCCTTGGTGAGGCTCCGGCTCAGTGACACCAGGAGCCTGAGGGCTGCCCGTGATGGTCACGAGAGCAGCGCTGATGGAGGGCCCACCGTGAACAAGACACTCGGCCAGGGATATAATGGGGACTCCATACATGTCGACATGGACTTCCTGCTTCCAAAGGGACATGTTAGGAGATCAAAAGTAGACATTATACAAAAACACAACAAAACAGACTGTCAAAGTCACAATGTGAATGTGCTGTTGGCCTCTTACACCGCTCTGCTGCCTCCCGACCTCAGGCATGACCAGCTCAAGGTGACCCCTGTGTCCCAGGTGCATGGGTGACTCACCGTGTGCACCCATGGACATGGGCATCGCTGGTGCCCATCACCACGAGAGGTGGGAAATGAAAACTAAGGCAGGATCTGGTGCCAGCCAGAACATTGATCCAATTCCCTTCTTTTCTCCTTTAGAAACTCCCATCCAACACCACTAATTGGTGGCTCCCGGGAGGCCCCTGGGATTCCTGAGGGCAGCTCAGATGCGATTCAGAAGTTGCTTATCTTGAGTCTGTTAGAAGCAGAGTGAATTGGGGTCCCTGCCCTCCAGGGGATACAGTCCCTCGGGAGATGCTGTGACAGAGTGACAGGGCTGTGCTGGCCTTGGGTAACTTCCATGGGGTCTCAGAGGGGACAGGTGTGGCGGCACAAAGGGGGACTTTGCAGAAGCGGTGATGTATGAGCGAAGCTTTAGTGGGAGAGCTTTCCTGGTGAGGAAGCAGTGTGAGCCGATGGGCAGCACCAGGAGGGGGCACGGTGGGTTCAGGGAGGGTGCCCTGAGTTCAGGCTGTGGTCAGGAACAAAGCGGGAGACGCAGCTTAGCACAGCAAAGGGTTTTCACACTACCCAAGGAGCAGCCGTTCTCTGGGAGTGAGGAGTGACCCACCAGCCCTGCATTAGAAGACCCCTAGGGTGGCAGTGCAGAAGGGCCTGGAGGGAGAAGGGAATATATCCTCCTTTTTTTTTTTTTTTAATCTTTATTGTTCAGATTATTACATTTGTTCCTCTTTTTTCCCCCCATAACTCCCCTCCTCCCAGTTCCCACCCACTCTCCTCCCTCACTCCCCACCCACTGTCCTCATCCATAGGTGCACGATTTTTGTCCAGTCTCTTCCCTCACCGCGCGCCCCCCGC